ACACAAAAACGAATTGTTGTAATTAATTTGTTTCTCCGTTATCACAGCCAGCGATTTTCAATGTGATCCTTGGAGATGAAGAGCAGACTATCACCGTTAATGAAGAAGAAAATATCGAAATATACCGCACTTCACATTCCGATGATGCCATTATTATCAAAGATTTCAACAGAGTAAGATAATCACTGATTACTATAACGATTTCTTTAACAAGGATTGTTTTACCTATTCGTCTGTTATATTGTCATTTTATATGCTTCAAATTCACAGTTGTGAAATAGTGTGTTTGTTTACTTTCAGAGATTAGAGGTAATCGCGCCTAAAGGTGGAGACAAATGTTTCGTGAGACCATTGCGTGCAAGTAAGAATGTGGAACCATCCAAATTAAAAAGAAATTTGGAAAATGACACTGAACAGGTATGTGAAATTTATCACATATTCTTACATTTGTGTACTGGTGTATCCCTTAATAAATGGATGTATTTGATCTACTAGATTTATTTCTATATTTCCACACACTAAACTAATTGAGTGTGTTTCAAAAATACGTGTAGTCCATCCTCTTGAATTTATTCAGAAGAGAATTATTACCAACATTGCTAAACTATTTAAAAAAATGAAAGAATCACATGCTTTCATGACAGCGTGTTTGATTTAAAAATAAATTCAACATGTTGTCTCTTGACTGGCAGCTTTTTCAGATTTAATTTTCTTCCAACAACGCAAATTCCTTTCAATATATTGCCACGTTAACAATGTCAGATCTCATTGGGTATGGAAATATGTTTTTTACGTGCTTTGCTTTGTGATGAGTATGTTCTTCGTTTAACAGTAACACGTCTCTATAGATTTGACATACGATGACTTATTGGCTATACAAATATGTAATGTTACAGGGAGTTGATCAACAGGTGGAACAGGAGAGTGAGGAACATCTCTTACTAGACAATGTACCAATAAAAGACACTTCTTGTTTTGGTGAAACGATCAATGTAGAATGTGATGGTAGAGAGATGTATTGGATGGAGCCTATTCAACATGGAGACGCTGGTAAGGCTCATTCATAACATAACGTATTTATTATGAGGAAGAATGAGGCGCGAATTCACTATATATTTAAGATGTTCCACTCCCAAAAATTTCGAAGTGAGTAAAATTTCGTGCACGAATCTACTATTTCACAAGTAAGTGATATATTGTCTTTTTAAGGCATGTACTTACGATTGTGTTTTTTCACTTTCCATATATTAGAAACTATGAAGCGTTCGTGTTCCTGGTGGCTTTATTGTGAATATACCTACCTAGGTGGTGGATGGTGGTGGAAAGAGTGTTGGTATATCTTGTTGTGTTAGATTGGTCTACTGACATTCACCGTGATTGTCGAATTTGAAGCTTGCTCATATTCATATCTATATATACAATGTTTTCTGCTTTCATAGTATTCTCAATGCTGTTTCTATGTTAGTCGAGAAGATTCACGTGTATGTACGAGTTTGTATATACATAGCAATGGGTAGGTTGATTTACTGTAGAGAATGATTAAGTCACTGGCAAAGAACGCCGCTGAGCACGGCTCGGACAAAATTCGTATACAATAATTTTGAAAATTCGCCATGCTTCTATGAAATTTGATGTTTATAATTAATTCTTATTACTTTTATTACTTAACAGAAATTATTTTGTTAAATAATTTAGAATGCTACATTAATTTACATACAGTGAAATATAAATCTTTACAAAGCTAAATTGATGTTAGAATTCAAATTAGTCAATTTGGCAATGGTATTGTGACATCAACGTTCCTTCTTATTTTGTACATGCTCGTAGACAATATTTAGTCAATTGAATATTTGAATTTAAATGAAACTGGGGACCGCTTTTTACAAAATTATGTTTATGTTTATTAGCGTTGTGCTTTTTACTGTAAACGGATTCATCAATAAACTTGATATGCGTATTTGTATTGCGTGTTCATTAAATATGAGTGAAAAATAGTGATTACCAGGCCTATGAGGTGACTGTGACAAGATGTTATGTTGAACTATGACCCGCCCTCATGAATATTAAGTAGTTAGACTACTGCGCATGTTTTCGGTGTTGAGTCAGTAATAGATGCAGCATGGTCTGTATTTGTTTACCTACTATACAGAATAAACCCAGAGTTAGCGGGACCAGCGCAATATAAACGTGACCTTGATAATGGGATTCTGTTTTTCCTGAGTGTTCAAATAATAGAAGCTGACATTTTTGGACTAACGTTATGTAATTGAAACACAAGCCACAAGTATTAGATGGCTTACAAAAGAGGCTATAGTTAATATGGGCAAATGATTTGCTTGAGCCATTGGTAAATTTATGGAAATGATTTTGCTGTGACAATGTATACATGTATGAACAATTATGTGAATATGGTGTTGTGTGTTATAGGAAGTAGGTGATGTCTTAAGTCTTTTGGTTATGTCATTTGAATCAAGAGGGGGAGGTTAAAGTACTTGATCGGAAAGAATGATTATATTTGTTCTTTGGCAGTGAATGGTTTATTTGTACTTGACTGTGACCCACCCACCACTCGATTGTAATTTGGGCCAGTTGCTATCAGACATCACTAGCATGACTAGTTGGGAAGAACAACCATGTAAAAATAGTG